AGAATTTCTGCCTTTGTTTGATCGCCTCTAATACGCCAAACCCCAGGAGACATCATCGCGGCGGCGAAGCCCAAGGGATACAAAAGAGGGGCTCACTAAGAGCAAGACATTCAGACTAAGCTGGAGAGGTACGGCCTAAACACTATAGCAATGCACGGCACTATTCTGGACCAATACGTTACGTAAGTTTAGCATATAAGCTGATTTCCACCACCCCGATTAACTAACAGGAATTTCAATTATGGATAGTATTAGGATAGGCTTTACGATGAGGTAATCAAGTCGGGAGGAGTAACGCCCGATTTTGAAAACACTCACAAGTACGTACTTCGGCCATACGCTCCCATGCCTAGCTTGGCCGAAACTAAGGACTTTTTCCGCTTCTATATCGACTCCAGTATCGGCAAGATCACGAAGAATAGAAGACCATTAGTTAAGTCGATAGTTACGAGAGCGGAGGACTTCTTCCGGGCTTTCAGCTTCGTCACAAGAACGGAGACGGATAAGGAACAAAACAGCGAGGTCTACTACGTTCGTCGTCACTTTCCAATAGCCTCTTATCACTTCTCACCGGATTCGCTAATTTTGCGGCAGTGGATGAGGAATGTGTGGGACTGTGGATACCTGAGGCAGTAGCTGGTGCCCCAGGCACCAGCTGCCCGATCCACTTCCTGGTTGATCCAGCCCACCGCAGCCACCTTTCACCTTCACCACAACATCACCAACCAACCGACAATACCAGTCGTATTGCCTCATTGCTTGCCTCGTTGGTACAGATGAGCAGTATGTACTACCCACAGGTTATGAGAGCCCATTTTGACTCTTTCCCCAGCTATTGAAGCTATTCGATTATTCCGTTAGATTCGCCTGCCGCAACTTCCTCCGTTTGTTTATTTGGACTATCACGTCGTTAATACGTAAAGTCCACCCCCGACCCTTAATCCCCTGCCACGCTAAAGCAAGGATCCCGACCCTGCTGATCGACAAGGATTCCGTTAATCCATTAATTAACCGTACGATCAATTAATAACCTATAGATCATCACCATATCCTACTAAGGGTCTTCCGTGTTACGCCCGCCGCAACTTGTCACTGTGGGCGCGTAGCTATATAATGCAGAACAAGGGACAATGATGCCGGAGTCATCATTATCGAAGCTTTTGCTTTGTGCCACAGTTGGTTGCCTTGTCCTGCTCGTAACATTTAGGATAACTTATATATATAGATAGCTGGGCGCTACCTCTGTACATTATTATTAAGGGCAAATACCACCTCCTCTCGTGGTATGCTAATAGCCAATTTCCCCCGAATAGCACATCTACCCTAGCAAAAATGGATGGACTATAAATGAGATTAGCCTAGATTAGCTAGAGCATTTTGAAAAATATATAAAGTCTCGTACGAAGGGTATTAAGCGGCTCCTGATTCTTAATAGCTATAATAGCCATAAATCGACCAAATTTAACGATTACTACAAGGAGCACAGCATTATTGCTCTTTGCATGCCTCCCCATTCATCGCACGAACTTCAGCCTCTTGATATTAGCTATTTTGGTCCGCTAAAGGCTTCGTACGGCAAGGAAATCGAGAAGATAATAGGGATGCAGATTACGCATATTACCAAGGACGACTTCTTTCCTGCTGTTGGATCTCTGAGCAGTCGGCAGAAAAGGTGGATCTGGAAGGCGGTATGGGCACTTACAAACGACCCCTTACATACCACTTCTGAGAGGCCGTGGGCTCTGCCCACAACCTCCTCCTTCCACCTCCAGACGCAGCAATAATAGACCATTATTGACACTTCGTTCCAACCGTACGGTTGCCCTGCTGACGTGTATACCAACACCTGCCTTCAAAGCAGCCTTTTTTACTTTAATAAGTAAAGGAAACGTACAAGCTGGTTTTAGACAGGCTGGCCTTGTACCCTTTGACTCAGAAGTAGTTGTTTCCCGCCTTGATTTTAAGCTAAAGACGCCAACACCATCTAACTCACGCCCAAGCAGCCAGGGCTCCTGGGACCCAAAGACACCAACCACAGCACATGACGCCGTACGAAGCTCTGATTCACGTAAGAAAAGGATTCATAGCCATCAATATAGCTCACTAACATATTTATACGAAGTTGTTGACTTGCAAGCCAAAGGTATTAGCAAGTTAGTACATAAACTAGCTTTTATTGAAGCTGAGTGCCGCGGGCTTTGTACGGTAAATGAGATACTAAGTAAGCGCCGGAGGGCTAAAAAGACCTAACTGCGTCTTAGAGGGTTACTTAATATAGCTAAGGCCGAGATAATCCGGGTAAAGAAAGGGGTTATTAATATTAGAGGCAAAAATATACGTTAGGAGGGTACTCGTACAGAGGGGGGTGAATTGCGCAGGCGGCGATATGGTAACTACGGAAAGACTGGACATAACGTACGAATATATTAGGTAGTTTAGGAGACCTCTGAAGAAGAGGCTGATGAGTAGTTCTAATTAATTTTGTACGATGCGGCTTAATTGACTTATACAAAGGGCTGGAGGGTATTTGAAAGTGGGCGACTCGTTATGATAGGCGACTTGCTAACTTATGCATGTACGTTAGCTACTATAAATATTAAATATAGAATAACGTGAATGATAAGCGAGTGAGACAGACAAGCGAGTGAGACACAAAACTGCGCCGATGATGCTTCAACACAAATGGAGACGTTTCTTCCACAACACATCATGGCATCCAGAAGTAATGAGTCAGGCATACAGCTGGCCCTTCAAGCTATCAGAATCAATCCAGAGCTTAGTGCACGGGCTGCAGCTACGATCTACTCGGTCAGCCATGCAACATTGAGTCGACGATTGAAGGGCTCTACATCTCGAAGCGACAGGATACCGAACTCGAGGAATCTTACTTTGCTAGAAGAGCAGACGTTAGTTGATCACATTCTCGATCTAGATGCCCGATCATTCCCTCCCCGGATCCGTGGTGTAGAAGAAATGGCTGATCGACTACTTGCTGATCGCGACGCGCCTCCGGTTAGGAAGCGCTGGGCCTTAAACTTCGTCAAACGACAACCACAATTGCGGACGCGGTTTTTTCGGAGGTACGACTACAAGAGGGCCCAATGCGAGGATACAGAGGCTATTCGCGGCTGGTTCGCTCTTGTGAAGAACACAATCGCGAAGTATGGTATCGATGAGTTTGATATCTACAACTTTGATGAGACTGGCTTTATGATGGGCCAGATTGCATCTGGCATGGTTGTCACAAGTACTGAAAGGCGTTCAAACACAAAAATGGCGCAGCCTGGTAATCGAGAATGGGTTACAGTGATTCAAGCCATCAACTCGCAAGGCTATAACGTCCCGCCGTGCATCATCGTTGCAGGCCAATATCACCTCTCAACCTGGTATACAGAGTCAGGTTTCCCGGACGACTGGGTCATTGCGACGTCAGAAAACGGATGGACAACAAATGAAAGAGGCCTAGATTGGATCCAGCACTATGATCGTCATACGAAACCACGTTTGAGAGGCCAATATTGCCTCCTCGTCGTCGACGGGCACGAAAGTCACCACTCAACAGACTTTGAGCTATATTGCAAGGCAAACAAGATCGTTACACTTTGTATGCCGCCTCATTCGTCTCATCTACTCCAGCCCCTTGACGTTGGGTGCTTTGGTCCGCTAAAGACGGCGTATGGGCAACAAATTGAGGATAAGATGCGGCGGGGCGTAACCCACATCTCAAAGGAGGACTTCTTTCCTGCATATCGCAGCGCATTTAGTCAAGCGATGACTGAAAAAAACATCCAAGGGGGTTTTATAGGAGCTGGGCTTGTTCCTCTGAGTGCAGAAAGCGTCCTATCAAAGCTGGATATCCGGCTACACACTCCAACGCCTCCAGCATCACTACCACAGACACCTCCGCCTTGGGTTTCAAGGACACCAAACAACCCAGTAGAGGCAAGCTCTCAATCCAACTTTATTAAGAGTCGGATCACTCGTCACCAAAGCAGCTCCCCAACCTCTATTTGCGAGGCTGTTGAACGACTTTCTAAAGGTACAAGAGGCATCATGCACCAAGTAGCCTTACTTAGATCTGAGGTACAGATTCTTAGAGACGAGAATAACCAACTCAGTCGACGACGGAGAACTAAGAAAACACGCCTACAACATGGAGGAAGTCTTACTGTAGCTGACGCAGCAGATATACAGTCACAGAAAGATGTGACTGCGCAGGTTCAGGAGGAAATGCGTCGTACTAGTGGTCGCAAACTGAGGGCCGAGACAGGTCAGCGACGGTGTGGCGTTTGTGGTCACCCGGGACACAATTCACGAACGTGCCAGTTTATTGAAGAGATGTCTGAAGATGAGGATTATGAGTAGTTTGAATTGAATTGATGCTGTTGATGTTGATATGGAAGCCAGTTTATCTCATCGGCGCAGTTTTGTGTCTCACTCGCTTGTCTGTCTCACTCGCTTATCATTCACGTTAGTCTAACTTAGTAAAAAGGCATAGTTATACACTCATTCAATTATCCTCTATATTAACTGCCTTATACACATTATTGTGATACTTTTCCCGGCCGAGTCTCCGTGGCATCAGCGTCGTATTTACTCGGTCGCACTGAACTCTCGCGCCGGACTTCTGGGGGCCAGCATCGGAGTTATATCGTTGCCGTTCGACCGGGTGGATTTTGCACGAATCATGAAGGAGGATGTACGCGAAGGCCTGGAGATCTCCACGTTCATGACTACTAATTATACTTAAGTTTGTACGGTGCCGATCGGTTGGTGGTTGACATTGCGGAAGCGGGGTGATGCGGGGAAACCACCCGTTCTGGAAGATTTGTGGTGGGATATTCGAGAGTCTAGAAGAATCTTCGCTTCGGATTGTCGCCAAAGGTTGATGCGGTCTGAAGTTATGGTGTAGCACTTGAGCTTCGATGCGTAGTTCTGTTGGAATATTACGGGAAAGGGAATTCCAAAGACAACGTTGTCTAGAATGATTTCTGTCCTCTGGACTCAATTGAATTTATTGCATCGGCCGTTTCACCATATGGTTCCAATTTGAGCTGCGATTTTCTCGTAACAGCTTGATGGCATCCCTTGTCTAGGTAGTAGCAAGTTCCCAGACCGAATTGAGACTCCCTGACTAATAAATCACGCCTTGGTTGAGATCTGAGAGTCGGTCGAGACCTGCGAATCGGTTGAGACCTGTGACTCAGCTGAGATTTGCGACTCATTTTCATCGATCTCCTTCATGAACAGTAAGAGCGCCCTGTCTTCCTCCTTCTTCATCCATCGTCGCATTCTCCAGAAAGTAAATGATGTTACGATAATTGTCAGCGCACAATAGATAGCTACCCAAGGTGATATGATCTGATTGCTGTCGGGGGAAGTCCAGTTGAAGAATGACATCGAGAATAGGCTCTAGGTTCTTGTTAGCTCTGCTGATGTCAAAAGCTGGCCCAACTCTATTGGAATGACCAGGAGTTTATGCTGGCTTACAGCTAGAAAAGTGCCGGGAAGAAAGATCATTCCCAGGTGTGAAATGCTTTTCATTTGGCTACCGTCTTTCTTCGTCGCCCGAGCGATAGCAATTGCAACTCTCGCATCTCGCCTGGTGTAATGGTTCGACTCCTAAAGTAAACATGACCTTGTCAGCGGCATTCGTCCCGATGACATAAGTTAATATAAAAAATCTGTGAGCACCATTTGCGCCGCCAACGCCATTCCCCCAAGTAAGCTGTCGCAACTCCTCACCTTGCTATCGAACTCGATGAGCATCTCAGATAGCCTTGTCTTGATTCTTTCTCCTGTCTTATGCTCCTCATCGTGTCTATCGGTCTTTCCATCCCGTTTGGCGGGCTGTTTGGACACCGCCGCTCCGAGTACTTCGCAATGCTCGATCATCTTCACAAGCTGTCCGCGGAGACTCTGCAGTCCATTTCTAAGTGAACTGACCTCTATCCATAGCTTGGTGGACTGACAGTCTCTGTTGTTTGATCCAAGCTCCACATCGTTTTTCCCTGACTTGGAAGCTCGCGACTCTTGATGAAGCTTGTCTTCCAGTTTGATGATCCACTGCCTAAGGGCTGTTGCCTTCAGGTCAAGGACGTTGAAGAGACGTTTGCGTTCAATCTCTGCAAATATTAAAGGCATGACTAACGGGTGAAGAGACTGTCCTTTGAACATCCCTAGCGACGTGGATACCAGCGATATTGTTTTGGGTGTACATCCATACATCGCAGCGTACGTCATTCGCTGGTCAGTGAAGTGTGTCGCAGACAAGACTATATCGTCGGGTTCGCCAGGAGACGATGTATCGGATTTGCAATTGTAAACTAGATGTTCTCACAGTGTTAGTAATACCGCCAGCACCATCTGATGACATTATTGTAGAAAGAAAGATTGCATCCATATCATCTTCTTCACAAACGCATGTATCACCTGGCGGCTTCACGTACCAATGGCCGGTGCTTTGGATTCACCAAGATTCCATGCCACTGATCGACTATTGAATAATGCAGTGGAGATCCTTCCTAGAAGAAAGGCAAGGGATCGGTGTTGGTAGAGACATTGTGCGACTTTCTGGAACGTTGCCTTTCCGTAGGGTATCGTCATGGCCTCTTCAGCCATTTCAGGGTCTGCTGTGGATCTTGAGTGCATGACGAGCAGTAACCCTGCTGACCTATGATGCTCTCGCAAAGCCGGGGTCTGATTGGTCCTATGTAAGAACTCGAATGAATGAAGGTTTTGCAGGCGGATATGGTCGTACCGTTTCTAGGGACCTGACGAGATCACTCTCAGAGCCATATTTAGGCTCTTCGAACGTAATTTGGGACCCAGAAGGCTATATTCATCCTCTGAGTTGCTGTCATTGAGAGAGGGGCTTGAGCACTTACGTCTAAAGAGTTCTCATGCAGACGCACGACGTGAAAGGAACTTGTTGGGCAGTGCTGGACTTGACAGAGAACATTTTCATAGCTGTTCGATTCCTGATTTAGCCAATCCATGTTGAATTGTACAATACGCGGGAAAGTATAATTTTCTACTGTTGTTGTCGGGGTTGCCGTGACATTATACTCCAGTCAAGTTCATGCTGGCTTCCACTCATGATTGATGGATACCTGTGAGGATTGCGCCTGCTCGCCTCAGAATACCTATGAGAGACGTAAAGCTGTTCGGCCCATCCAGTCAAAAGCCCGCAAGATGCTGACGGCAGATGCAAATGCAGATGCACTCCGGTCCAACGATGTGCCAGCAGTTTTTCTCTCGTCCGAAATAATTCCAACTCGTGTGGCAGTACATATTTCTACCTCAGGACATCATCATCGTATATCCAACCAATAGTATCAGGGGCGGTGGTCAACACCGATGAGGGCGCAAGCGGTGGGTGGCATCCAGCCTGCCTCCAAGCCACCATGTTGCTTGGGATGCATGTGTTGTACAATAATCCCATCACTTGACCACATGCATTCGCCAAGACATGGCTGGACAATACTTCCATATTGGTGTCAATCTTTTGATTGGATCAGTCAATATAAGGCAGAATTCTGCCTTACAGATATTTATCTTTCATAGCCACAACGATTATGCATCCTATAGAGTTCGGTGAGAACCGTCGCCCAAAACAGCACTTTGATGACTGGGAGCCTTATGAAATCGAAAGCCAAGGCCGAAGTGGCGATTGGAAACAGAGAAAACACACACCTGAGACGTATAACATCGTGCAGCCTCTTTCAGATTGCTCACATCCGGCTGAGAGATTTATATGCTGCCATCGCAGCAGTTATCGGTGCCCCTCATGGATATCCACAAAGACCAAGCTTGGATCACGAGACTCAGAGTTTTCCTTTTCCGCAAACGCCCTAAGATGTCTGATCCCGAAGATTTTAAACCGACTGACAGCCTGGATTGTCGATATAAAATCGACAAAGAGGTTTTGAAAAAAAAGCTTATCGAGTTCGGGATACCCGAGAATCAAATTGCAGTAAAGGTGCGGTTTGAGATACTGATCAGTCTACCTGCCATTCAGTGAGACTTTGCATCAGTAACTAAACCCTATCACAGCTTACAAATAGAACCGGATGCCAAATGCAGCTCCCTAGACATTTGACTGAGGTACGTTAGCAAGACCACTGAGATGCAGCTCGTTAAATTGACCTCAAATGTAAGGAGGAGGTGAAGAAACTTAAAGACGAGTTCGAGCGCTTGCACAAGGAAAAGTCGACTGCTTGACCAAGGGGTCTCTACTGAATCCCTTCCTCTTCTTTCTGTAGATTGAATGGCCATTCGCAAACAAGAATACTAGGACTGCAGTATCAAAATTCCCGCATCTTACATATTCAAAATGCATTCACAGAATAGAACGTCTCAAAATACAAATAGACATCTAGCAAAGACGCGGAGCGTTCAATTCTCGGTGCTTTTGAAATTTTGGCTAATGCGAAATAAAGCATGCTTATTACGGCAGCCTTGCGTGGAAGATCATTGAGCTGATGTTTTAAGTGACATGATGAAATTTCTATTGTGTTAAAGTACATTGCTTTCAAATCAACTGTTGAAAAAACTCGCGAACCTTGCTAGATTCGTCTCTCTTTTTGGTGTTGACGACTAGCATCTTCCGCTCGATGTAATCAAGAATCTTCCCTAACTTCATGTTACCACGGCATATTTCATGACGTCGCAGGTCGTCCATATGCTTTCCAGACATCAAGTTAGTCTTTGGCCTGAGTATTGGTGAACAGCCTCTAGTACTAGGAGGCTATTCTGGGAGTACATGTGAGGTACTCACCGAAATGACGGAAGGCTTGATGTTTGCCTCCTTCCTGAAGGTCTTTCTAAAGCACCAGCCATACTGAGCAACCTTCCTTTTAGCAAAGAATGTATCCTCTATCCATATAGAGCCTCCAGATTCGGTTTCGTCACGTTCAGTGCGTTTGTCCTCGAAATCTTCTACTCCAGACCAGCCGAGAATGGCCCAGGTTACGAAATCGAGGTAAAGGCAACCCAAACACCAGACGTCCATCTTCTGCCCCAGATCAGATCCGTCAGGTATGTCTACTTCAGGGGGTCTATATGTCAGTGTTGCTGTGATATCCTCTGGTCGGAAGGTGGATCGGCTATCGGCAAGCAGCGACAGGCCAAAGTCTGTCAGCATGAGGTTGTATGTAACCTCACCGTTCCTTGAATCATCAAAACACAGAATATTTTCCGGCTTGATATCATGATGAATCTGTGGCCTGTTCACAACCGCATCTCCATTAGATGAGTAACCGTGGACAGTAGCTAGTGCATCGGCTATATTATAGCATTGCTCTGTTACCCATTCCGGTGAAAACCATGGGGCTGGTTCGCCCCCGAGGTCAGGGCGAGGCCCAAATTTCTCCCAAAATTGCTGAAGATCGCCACCACTTGCTAAAGGGAACAAGAGATGAAACTTATTTCTATGCTTGAAAGCGGCAAGGAGGGGGACAATTCGTGGATGGGTGGCTCGTTGATTAGCGGCCGTCTCGCGTTTGAAGACATCCTCAGCATAGGCGAGCACCTTGCCTTTCTCGAGAATTTTGACCGCAAACCAACCTCCATTCGATGTCTATAATATGATATATGTTAAAAGGTCGATGGAAAGGGCACTTGAAGATAATAGGGGTACTCACATGATCGTCGTGGTGGCCTGCATGAATTTTGATCTTGTACACAGATGACAAGTTTCCACGCTCGCTTCCCACTATCTTCACAGCCTTTATCCATGGCAGAATTACCTCATCGCGAACTTCAAATGGCTTTACGCCTTGCGAAACTTGCGTTGTGGTCTTGAAGTAAGGAGATCTCATACGCCATTGGAGGCTGATGAATAACTCTTTATCTGGTACTTCAAATGACTGTGTGATATTCCGGAGAGCTAAGGCGGTCGGACACTCGTTACTTGGGTTATCAAGCGGCCAGGTACTATCACATATCTTCTCCCCAGACTTGTGTATTTCCAAGATACACGCACCCCTGTTCAGGAGCAGTAAGGTTACGAAGATGATTCTCAATCCAGTGCATGTTGCGACTGAACACCGAGGACACTCTCCATCCTCTGGACTGATATCGCGAGCGATTAGATCGATTTTTGTAGTTTCGACACTGGACGAGAGACAAGCCGATAGGCATTGTAGTGCGTTGTTGTAGTTGAAAACAGATATCAACCGATTTCGTGGTATGAACCCATTACAGTCGTCTCCAGAATCGTCGTTTTCTTTGGGCTCGTCGGGATTTCCTCGCGAGATCGACGTCAGCATCCGTTTGATATCGTCCGGGGCAATATTGGCGCCGTGCTCCAATATCTGCAGGAAGGGATCGTCAGCAGTGCAAAATGATTATGCCCGCACACAAAATGCTCTCTCTGTCGAATCAACGAAATGTGCGTGCAGGAGGCAGTGAGACTACGTACGACTGATGTGCCTGGGATTGGATCCATGCTTGGAACTTCGTATCGGAATGACTATTGGTACAGAGGCTGGTGCTCGACGTAATGATCTGCAAGTGATTGGATTCGATAGGGACAATTGACTTCGGATGTATTGTTGGGTTGAGTGAGATTGAACGGGGACAGAAGTGTTCTTTTGAGAGCCGACTATTTGACGCTCGGTGAGGCCAGCAGGCAATCCATTACACTCCTGCAGGCAGGTGGCTTGAAGTCTTCGACATCGTTAGGCGTACAAGCGCCAAGGCATAGCCGGCCGTTGCTGACAGTAATTATCTCTTCAAGGCTGCTTTCATAACCAAGGCTGCTGGCATTTATTGCATCAAGCTGATACTTGAGGGGCAGTGAACTTTGAAGTGCATGAGGACCATGTGGTCTCAAATCTGAACCTCTGCGCGCATCCAGTGCGGCATCAGCATGTACATGTAACTTGTATTCTAGATGTCCGGATGAAATTAGAGCGCCACCTGGTCTTGAATGCGCAACCGACATGATTCGGTGTGGTGTTGCTTAGTTCTCAGCCAATGAGGTGCTCTCGAGTGTGTGGGATACCGACAATGGTGGGCAGCACGTCGCCGTCATAATATCAGAGTGGCAGAGCCTGCTTCATCACACCATGTTCTACGGATTCTTGTTCTTCTTGGAGGGCTGACCGATCGGACGATTGGCCCAGCAAGGATACGCCCCGAGAACTGCAAGTCTACTGTATAGGTAAGATCTGCCCTCAAATGAAATAACTTGTTCAGATACCTTCCATATACAATCGCGGAGGTGTTCTCATTATTGTGTGGCTAAAGAGTTTACCAATAGGTAGCTATTTTCTCCCGGGTGATTGACCAGATTATCATGCATTTGCTCTTTTCCGAGACCACAAGCACCACGAGCCCTCAATCAAGGGCCTCCCTTCGTTCCATGTGAGGGGAAATTGATGTCTTACAAGCAAGCGTAACCCATGGACAGGAATGGTGACAGCAAGTCCTGATGCAAACCGGCGGCCGTAATTTAATGGAGCACCTAGCCACCCCCAAAGTGATGGAAAGCTGACATTCTCACCTCTGGACCCATTCACTTACTTCCTTACCTGAGTACATACAATCGAAAAAGGTTTCTAACATTGTATTATCGTCATTTGAGACTTCGTCTCGAGAAACTACTTGCAACAGAGTATTTGCCACGGACCTTTCATCAAGAATGAGCCCATTTTCAAACTTCTCCCTCTTCCCAAGGTCGCACTCCTCACAAGCCAATGTCGAGCCTTGCTCTCCAGCTTCACACTGGCGAAGTACAGGCTTCTGGTCTATATCATCATCCTTATCATCTTCGTCAGGTTCATCAGGTTCATCCGAACGCTCCTACAACGAAGTGACTAAGATCGCCGGTCGCCACATCGACAAAAGAAAGCTGCAAGAGCTTCTGCAAGACCGATTCGGGGATGAATACAGGCTGCAGGTGTGTCGCCCATTAAGTCAGCAACATACAATTAAGCCACTGACTGACACCGATTCGATTCATGCACAGTTAAAGAATAACAATTATCGATTACATGCCGATGGACAACTGAGTGAAGCAGAAATATTAAGTTGTTGCTGAACTATTTTCCGGGATCATTGTGTTGCCCTTAGGCCTGTCCCTCCATTGAGCTGCGGTTCGTTTGCTTTCTTAGTTTCTTTTCAATCAACTTCTACTTCTTCTCTATTTGTATTACCAAGATTGTCAACCGTGGTGGATGAGGTTTTGTGCTAGGTAGTAGGACACAATCGTGCCAACAGGTATCGGGAAATTGCAACTCAAGGAAATTTCTTTGTATTAAGTGCTCATGTAATAGTATCTTGGTCAGGAACTCTGCAGTCATTCACTTTAATCAGGACAATAAAGAAGGCCTTACACATGGAGGGTCATGGGCATCGGGTCATAGACTCCGCCATCACCGACTGTATGCTGGGAGACGATTGAGTGGAGAGGAGATTTTGAGTTGTTGCTAAACTAGTATCTTGGAGTGTGTTGCTATCACAAAGCGAGGTAGCAAGTGGAAGACTTGTATGGTAGAAAGTGGCTTGATTCCTCTAAGTGGAAGACCCGTATGAGGGTCCTATCTATATACCGTACAAGACGGGTAATGGGCTTGTGGAAAGCGGTATCGTACGGCAGTAACCGGCAGCGCCACGTGTGGCGCTGCGACACACCCCCTCAGTCGCGCCCGTGTGGAACGAGGGCGCGGCTGCAATACGATATCGTCAGATTCCAAAACGATCTGTAGTGAATGCGGTAAGTACAAATGAAAAAGTAAATAGTCGTGGTTGTTGTGTTCCGTTATAATTGGCCCCTGGGTGTGCATGGCGATGCGTTCCGTACATCCTGTAGGTTGAGAAGTGCTCGGAAGTGTTCAAACTTCGCTCGTGGTAGGTTTTTCGTAAGTCCGTCTGCTGGCATATCATTCGTTGGCATGTAGACGACTTTGAAGCTGCCCGCTGCGTGCTCTTGTCGTAACCACATATTCTGGATATCGACGTGGCGGAGTCGGGTTGAGATACGTTCCCCTTCCCCTACTACGAGACGAATCGTTTGCTGATTATCACAGTACACGTTCCAGACGTCGCCGAGATCGAGGGTGATATCCCTGAAGAGCCTCTTGAGTGCCATCGTCTCTTTCGCAGTATGTTCGAGGGCCAGAAGCTCTGCTTCTGTCGTAGACGTAGTAACAGTACTTTGGCGCGTCGCCTTCCACTGGACGACTCCGCCGAAGAGGAGGAAGATGTATCCCTGTGAAGATCGACGAGTTGAGTCGTCAGCGAACGAAGCGTCACTTGCTGCGAGGAGGACATGAGCGCCGTCTTCCATTCCGTAGCGAATCGACAAGTACGCGGTGTGGTAGAGATATCTGACCACTCGTTTGGCAGCGCGGATGTGAGTTTCGCTTGGATTGGTAAGAAATCTTGACAGCAGAGATGCCGCGAAGGCGACGTCGGGTCGGATCATTATTGACGTATACAGGATTGATCCAACAATCTCTTGGTAGAGCTTCACTTCGGCCTTGGTCGCCGTTCCCTCGTTCGGTACGAAGTCGACCATCGGAAGAGGGGTGGCCGGTGCGAAAGCGTCGTCGAGACCGAACATTGCTGCCATTGCTTTGATATACTGGTCGTGGCAGAGGTAGATGTGCCCGGCAGCACGATCTCTTGTGATACGAATGCCGAGATACGAGTTGGCTTCGCCCATGTCCTTCATCTCGTAGGCATTCTTCAGGCCGTCTATTATTGCATTCCCGAGGTGTTCGTCTTTCTTATGGTACATCACGAGGATGTCATCCACATAGAAGACGACGAATACCTTCGAGTCCGTCGTCCTGAAGATGCACGGGTCCTCCTTGCACTGGACGAGGCCTAGGCTGCGGAGGGTTGATGAGAACTCTGTGTACCATAGTTGGGGGGCATCCCTCAGTCCGTACAGAGCGCGTGTGAGGGTGGCCACCATGCCATGGAGTTTGTGCCCATCAGGCAATTCGCAAACGACTGGTTTGCCTGATGGGTCTCGTTTCGCGTTAAGGAAAGCGTTGATCACGTCGAGCAGCCTAAGCTCGAGGTCAAACTTCGCTGCGAGAGCGATGGTAACACGAAACGTACGCGCCGCAAGAGTTGCGGCGTATGTGTCTTCAAGGGGATCCTTTGGTTGGAGATCGCCTCTCACGCAAATTCTCGCTTTGCAGCGTGAGAGGTAGTTGTCTGTATCCCACTTGTATGAGAACACCCACTTGAGAGGGAGCGGTTTAGAGTCGCCCGCGTCCTCTCTTCGTACGACCTTCCAGGTGCCCTTTCGCTTCAGCTCGGCAATTTCTTCCCGTGCTGCTGCGAGGAACAACTGTTTGATGTCTTCTGGGAGCTTATGAAGCTCTCTCCAAGAGTTGGGAGGTCGTACGGCGTGGTCTCTATGGAGTCGAACGCCTAGTGGAGGCAGAGGTAGTCGGCATTCGATCCGTCTTATGGCAGCAATCACCATGGAGTGAAGGGTGAAGTGCCCGTATGAGGCTTCGTCTCGTGCTTGCTGCTGATCAGGCAGGAACATCGAGAGAATTGAGTCCTCGTATCGCTCGCCACGAAGGAGCGTGAAGAAGGCTTGAGTTGACGATTCACCCCCTGAGTCTACGGTGCGAGATTTCCGTTTGGGTTGGTCGACTATTCCGTGGAATCGTTGGGGAGGTCGTTTGACTCTTTCGCTTCTTCTTGTTGGGCCGCCGTCTGAGTGCGCGCGCTGCACGTCAGACGTCGAGTCTGGAGGTGGGATCTCGGTTCCGTCGCGTGGCCGCGCGAGGTCTTGAGAGGCTGACTCTTCCAGCTCGTTCTGTCGGGAGTGACCCGTCTCGTCGTCGGAAGGAGAGCTTCCGCGGACGTAAATTACATCTTCAACCAGTTCTTCTACGTGCCCTGGCTCCGACACGTCGAACTGGCCTTCGACGTCTTCTCCATCGCGAGGTCCCACTGCCCGTTCACTTTCGTGTTCGGGTACCTCGTTCAGTGAGAGATTTTCGGTCAACTCGGCGAGAGGTTGTACGTCCTCAGGGGCCGGTGTTGACTCGGGAGTTAGGAACCCTGTTTGCCCTCGTTCCGCCTGACCATCGTTCGAGCGGACAGCGTCCTGTACCGCTTTCTCTATTGGCAGGGGATGAGGGGCTTCAGCTTGCGGCTGTGAGGGTGTCGTGTTGGAGGTCAGTTGGATCGTTCTGATTACTCCGAGCATGTCGGCGAAGGCGTCGGCTACATGGTCCTCTTCTTGTATGACGGAGACCACGTTTTGTGCCTCGGTTTGTTGGATCGCTTCGCTGGCGTCGCTCTTCGTATAGAACTTCGTCTCGTCGAATCTGACGTTCCGTGTGATGACAACCCTTCGTAGCGCGGGCACCCAGATCCTGTAGAGGTTGTGCGCGTTCTGCACATACCCTACGAGGTATCCGATATGGGCGCGTGGTTCTACTTTGAATCTTCTTCTGTTAATCCCTCTCTCTCGTTCGCTCATGAGCGGGTACGCTCTACAGCCGTACGCGTAGGTCCAGCCCCAGTGTGGTCGCAGATCTCTTGTGAGCGCCGCTGCGTACGCTGGCGCCCACCACCGGAAGTACTGTCGGAACCAGAGTTCCTCTGTCTGAATTGGAGATATCCAATCGTTACGTTGGATTGGACTCGCATTGTATGTGTATATAGCTGCGAATCCGACTTCTGGCCACAGCTCGTATGGTAGACCAGACGAGTCTAGCATCTTGACGATCTTTGTGATGATCTCAAGGCCGGTTCGTTCGCCACTGCCGACAGGTTCCTTCGTGTTGGGTGGAGGTAGCTCGAGCTCAATCCCTTGGTCTGCTGCCCAACGTTCGTACTCTGTACTTCCCTTGATCCCAATAACCGCAGTTTCGTTGTCTGACCGAATCTTACAGATCTGGAGGCCTCGCTGTGTGCTGACCCATGCCTCAAAGCGTCTTAGGATGGTAAACACCTCGTCGTGGGTCTTCTTCGCGAGTGGGCTGCCGAAGATACGTCCGGAGTACTCGTCTCGGATGAGGAGGAGCCATTCAGAGCCGTCAAAGCCTCTGGTGAAGTCAAATAGGTCCCATGAGATGCGGTAGTACGGTCTCACTGAGCGTCGTTCTGACGTACGACGCGATATAACCTGGCTGGCGTGTGCTCTCGCGCAGTGCTCGCATTCAATACGAGTAGGACCACGGATTCTCACCCCCCGAGTGTTGGTGGCGAGGTGAGAGAGCGCTTCAGGGCCTAAATGTCCGGTACGAAGGTGCCAAAGCCAACCGTCATCTACGCGGTCCGGTGGAGGCTGACGGGAGGTACGGAACGAGGTTGAGAACACGTCGATTCGCGTTATTCCCGCGAGGCTGACTGGTGGTCTGTCACGTATCGTAGGGGACTGTGGACAGGGGGAGATCGGCTTGTATTGCAAGAAGACTAGGTTTCCTTCACGCTGGAGTTTGAGAATCGTGTTGTTCTGCTTCTCCATCGGTCCCCAGCGCAGCGAGCAGTCGAATCCCGTATACCAGAGACCGCTCTTTTGTCTAATCAGCCCTTCCGACGCGATGTTGACGTGGAATCCAGGCACATACGCGACGTCCTCAAGCACGAGGTCGATGCCGTTCAGTACGCCTTTCATCACGCGCGTGCCGTATCCCTCGATGGGGTACGCCGTCGTTCCGGACTCAACAAAGTGCGTGTCTCCTGGAGGCTTGAGAGAGCCTGGTTCGAGCAGGGATTTGTCGTTCACAAGATGGGTTCCTCCGCAATTATCCAGTACAGTAGATTCGCGCAGTGGGTGAGCGGGTTGAATCGGAGTCGAGAATACGCCAAGAGACGAACCTCGCACGAATGGGGTTGAGGCTACTAGGGATGAGGAAAAGTCGTTCCGTAAGATCGTAACTGCAACAAACTTTGTTGGCATGCTTTCGGTGGTAGATGACTCGCTCCCCTGTCCCTTGGTCCACCCCTTTGCTTTGATTGTCTTGCGAAGATCGGCCCAATGCCCCTTTTCGACCCGCTTTCTGATAGCCGCTCGAGTTTCGTCGCTCAGAGTTCCTCGGAATGCCGCTGACTTGCCGCGGTAGGCGTACTCGACGAATCCGCACTCGGCCGGGGTCCATGGGTGTACATTACGCTCGCAGGGGCACTTCTGGTTGGGTCTCTTGTTTGATCGCTCTGTCTGATTGCCAAGCGTTGCGTATGCCCCTGTCGCTTTACGGAGCTTCGGCGGGTCTGTCCGTAGGAGGTCTCCGAGAAGGTCCGCGTACTGCTTCAAGGTCAAACGGACTCCCGTCTGAAGGCGCTCCTGTTTGTGGATGTCGTTGAGCTCGCTGGTTGCCCAGGATGTGGCGATTCGCTGCTGGACGGCTCGCAAGAACGTCTTGACCGCGAGAGATCCCTCAACCTCTGGTATGGAATAGGCCTGTCCGTTCAGGAAGGCGCCGTACCACTCGTTTAGCCAGGTCATTGGGTCCACGGTCGACGCTGCGAGATCCATCGCCTTGAGGTATCGTTCGCGAGCGAGATCCATGGATACGTCTTTCGACGGAGCGAACCTGTCCTTGAGGGCCTGTATCGTCTGGCGTAGCTCAAGTTTCTTGTCTCCATTCCTGTCGGCGAGCTCAGCTCGGATGGGCTGGAGGATATCCGACGCGACGGTAGCCTCAACCCATGCTGACAGTAGGTTCAGATCGTTCTTTTGCTGCTTGAGATCTCCGTTTTCGATCGCTTGGCTCTGAATGAGGAGGACGTATTCGTTCACGATGTTGATATGACTCGTCTGGTGTGGAGGTGATCTAGCAGGTTCTGTATGGCCTGTCTTGTCTGCGAGTTGATCGTAGTCTGCTTTCGCCTTAAGGAATTCGGCTTCGGCTAGTACGTTGCGTTCCTGGACATAGCGGTCGATTGACGGAAGTAATCGTACTAAATTGATGCTGTCGGTGCCGTCGGGGTCGATATATTTCCAGACGGCTCGTTCGCGAGCCGAAATGCGAAGGGAATTCCACCACGGAAGCCAGTCCTCATTGATAGTCATAGGACTGTTGAGCTTCCTGGTGGTAGGGAGCGAGACTGTAGTCATTGTTGCGTGTACGATGGTTTCGTTTTGTACGAGAAGGGGTATGTGAGAGAGAGAGTAGGCACTTGCAGCCTGCTTCACAATAGTAGGGGTTTCTGTTGCTTGTGGTCAAGTCAGAGCTGGGCTCATAACTATCACAAAGCGAGGTAGCAAGTGGAAGACTTGTATGGTAGAAAGTGGCTTGATTCCTCTAAGTGGAAGACCCGTATGAGGGTCCTATCTATATACCGTACAAGACGGGTAATGGGCTTGTGGAAAGCGGTATCGTACGGCAGTAACCGGCAGCGCCACGTGTGGCGCTGCGACAGTTGCGTTTGACCTTGTCCTTTCCTTGAGTCTCGCGTCTCTCGCCCAGCACGCCTCTGCTATATCGATTATTTTTCCAGCTTTGTTATCTCGCTATTTTAAATACTTTCACTGGCTGTATTATCTCATCTCTCAAATTTGTTTTCAATTTCTGTCATCTGTCTTCCACAACCTACTGGTTCTTGTATTACTTCTTTCTAGTTTCGGCTTTTTTCTTATGGTTGAATATTCGTCTACGCCCAGCAAAGGTCAGTGAATATGCAGTATGTGCAGAAGGTACATTAATAAAGAATCCAAGGCATTAAAATGCTAGGGATTTAAGCTTGAGGGGATCTTAGTACCATCAGGACGATCTAAACCCAACTTCAACTACCTAGAGAATAGCACATGGTCTAGAGGTTTTCAGAATTTACGGGAGCTGATCTCGTCACATGCCCGGATTATGAATTCAATCCTGACGAACAACGATCGGGAACTATGCTACCAGGTCTACCAGGAAGTGTCTATTGAACGTGGATGTGTAGCATTGTCGAGCTAATTCACTGATAAGTACCACGTTGTTTTGCTTCAAGAGTCGATACTCAGCACAAATGGCCGTCGGTCAATCCTCGACCTGGCTGAGAATTGTGAGCGTCGGTTGCGGTGCGACTTTTCCTGGCATGTGCTATTCAATTGGGTACAGTCGCATGATAAGAGCGACGGTGATCATCCTTAAGGATTTATCCATCTCAGAATTTGGATTGGACGACGAGTGTATTAGGTCTGTGGCAACTATTGTAGCATTCCCGTAGAGGAGCCCTGTGCCAATACATACTCTCACTCAATAATCATCTCTTCAATGAAAGAGGCCCGGGACCAGATATCTATGTTCATGAAGTATTCTGAACACACATCAGGTGCTGTGACCGCGAATGCATTGTCGGCTCCACTAAACCACCCACATGGCGCGTGAGACTTCATCATTGTTGTTGTTGTTCTATTTAACGCCATGGCGGCAAGGGCGCAGCCGCCCTTGCGGCAGACCTCCCGGAGGGTATGTGGCGTGAAGGGTCGCAGGCTCTAGCTATATACTATATAGTACACGCCGTATCCTGACGTCCTCCAAATCTTGCTCGTGAGCTACTATGTGTTCTATCCATCCCTAGTTCCCACTGGTGCCCTAGTTCCGTTATAGCCATCTGGTTTCTTAATAGAGGTAGTTTGTCGTTTGGAGGATAGGTTATGACCTATCTCCTAGTACCGCGGGCAGATCTTCTGGAAGAAGTCTGTCACGCAGAGGAAGGCCTGGAAGCCTTCAGAGTCAGTGATTAGCCCCTTGAAGTAGCGATCGAGGGACCCTATAGGTCCTACGGGCTCCTGGCGGCTGTAGGGGTAGAGGGTGGGCCACTGTTGCCTCCTCAGTAGGGTCTTTCGGCAGTAGACTAGATGGTCTGCCTCCTTAACCCATCCACAGGAGCAGGTGAGTAGTGCTTCTGTGTGGTTAAAGCGTTGGTGATATTGTTTAAAGTCCCCGTGGCCTGACCGTGCCGCGAGGAGGTGATGAAGGGCAGCCCTAGGGAGGCCAAGTTCAGGAGGGCAAGCAAGGGTAGCCTTGAGCCCTAGTTGGGTATAGCGGGGAGTTGCCTCTTGTTTCCACCATCGTCTATATTGGCGTCTTGGCCGCTCTTTAGCAAGCCACTTGATACCTGATAGAGTAGCTAGTTGGCCTTTAAGGACTGGTAGAGTTGTTCCCTCCTTAGCTAGGCTGTCTGCTTCTTCGTTTCCTTTAATACCTTGGTGCCCAGGAGACCAATGGGTTTGTATATCGTGTATCCTAGCTACCTCCTGGATCTCAAGGAAGGCCGCTTGTGAGGAGTCTGGGACCTTACCGCGAATCCCCTGAATAACGCTGGTATTGTCGATGCAGATGTGTATAGGCTGGCCTTGGGAGGTCTGAAGGGCCCGTCGGAGCCCAGCCCTCGCCCCCTCCGCCTCACCATCAAACACTTCTGCTAAGCCGAGACGGCCGCAGCCCTGGGCTATACGTTTATTGTTGCGGTAGATAACAAAGCCGAACCCTGTAGCCCCGTCAGGAGCTTTGGAGCCGTCTGAGTATACGACTGTATGCTGACCTGGCACAGTCTTGAGCCAGGCCTGGAAGATCCTAGCTGCTACATCCTTCGTTTGTGTAATTATAAGGTTATAAGACCCTGGGAGGTATTGCGGCTGTAGGAGTGCTGGCCTTGGACACTTAGGTAACAGGCCAGCTGTTCTTTGGAGCCTGGTCTGTTGCCGCCCTGGCTGTAGCAGCCTTGGGACCAAGGGATGCTGTTGGTCAACCTTCTGCAGGCGTATAGCGAAGCGTAGTCGCGCTGCTTCGAGGGCTACCTCTGCTGTAGGAAGGCCAGCGTCTCGGATGAGGCTGCTGGTCGGTGTGGTTCTCTAGATAGGCAGGATAGCCCTTGCTACTGCTATAATAACTTTGCTAACTTTACGGGCTAGGCCCTTCTGTCCTATGCTAATTATAGCTATCCATAAAGTAGTACTACTGCTAGTATTAGTGCCGCTATTTAGGGCTGGTTTGGTTAGGCCCGCATACCAGGTCTCAACTCCATACAAGGCTGTTGGAAGGACACAGGCAATAACCGCTTGTCGTACTGCGGCTGCTGGGAGTCCCCCTTTGGTATTTGTTAGGTGCCGTAGGAACTGGGCTACCTTCTTTGCCGCTGCCAAGTGAAGATGCATAGTAGCGTTGGAGTAAAATTCTGGATCACCTCTGATAAATCGCAAAAGACATCTATGTTATCTGACCGTGTAAGCAGCATCCTAGAATGTGCGGGCTGGTACAGACAGTTGGATGCAGAATGAACATCGAAGCTATCTTCAAACAAGGTAGGTACCTCGCCACTGCCCATAAACCTTGGCCGTAGCCACACGCTGCCCATCAATGTCCACGGCGTTCAGTCTCCATCTTGGTATATGTTCACGCGTAAAGTTCGACTGGACGTCGGTTCAAGTTCTTCCATTGGTCTTCATATGCACTCTTTCGCTGCTCTTTACTGCGTGTGACTTGCCGCCTCCGTTGACCGTCATCTACGACCTCTCCTCCTTTACAAGTTTTGAAGCATAAGCAAGGCCCAATATGCCTCCAGTCTCCCCCAACACCACAGTTTTCTTCGACGTCGATGGCACGTTATTCGATCACTACCACTCAATGCGCTGCGGTATCTCAGCGATCCGTCAAAGGTGTCCCGCCCTCATGGGATTTCATTTGGTGGATCTCATCACTCGGTAGTTACAACAGATCGCTTCAGTCAGCCTATAATGAGTATCTCCAAAAGATCATCACGTACAACGAGGCCGATTCCAAAAAGTTCCGGTTGTTCTTCAAGAGCTAGATCTCGCTATACCAGGCGACGAAGACCTTGCCGAATTCCGAAATATCTATAGGCAAGCTTATCGCAACAGTCGGAGAGCAACACCGGGAAGCATCGAGACGCTTCTGCAGTTGCGAGAGCAGGGCGTGCGCCTAGCTATTTTTACGAATGGCCAAGCAAAAGACCAACTAGAGAAGGCGAAAGCTATTGGAGTGCACCATTTTATGGACTACATGATCACCTCAGAGGAAGCAGGCTGTTGCAAGCCAGACACCGCTATCTTCCAACTCGCCATCGAAGCTCTGGGCTGTTCTCTCGAGAAGACCTACATGGTTGGTGATTCTGTGGAGTCTGACATTAAAGGGGCGATCAATAGCGGCATGAACGTGATTCTCTTCTCGCCGATGGCAACAAATAGCCACCTATCGGTGAACGCGAAGACGGTCCCCGTTATTCAAGATTTGTCCCAGCTTACCAGAATCCTTGGGGTATCGGCCGCATTAATAGGACTTTAGTTACTTTGAGTCGCCCTAGATTTGATAGGTTTAACGGATGCGAAAAAGGTTAGAGTGTTTGTCATGGTACAATTTGAGAGCTCGGGCAAAGTATTTGCTGCATGGATCCAAAATGTAGGTGTCTCCAAAGATATTTCGATTATGACGAAAGAACTTGCACTTATTCATCTTCTAGACAAATTGAAAACATGCAGTCTGCTCAACGAGTACTACTAAACATCGAGCTTAGATCATTCCAATTTTCTCCGCCAGATTTTCACCGGTAAAGCCCCACAGATGATGTTGAAAGCCTCATGCCTTTTCAACTCAAAGTCAGGAGAGGGAAGAGCGAACTCGTACGTGTGAACAATCGAAGAAGACTTCATGGACTGGAAAGAGGTTCTGTTCAAAATTTTGGTCTCCGAGTTCGACTACAAGGAGCATTAGCTCAGTTCGCACCAAGTCAAAAGGTTAAGACGGAGTTGATGATAATCGGAAATGACAGGGAGGCTTATTCCAAGTTTCTCGGGAGAAACCACGTGACACTAGCCCGACTCCTGAAGCACACCATCGCTGTCGACCCGGCGGCGACATGGGCTGGTCTACCGCTCTCTTTCATCATCGACTTTTTGCCTGCTATGCAGCCACATCTCTATTCCATTTCCACTTCACGCATTACATCGCCTCGGAGTGAGGGTCTAACTGTGTCCGTCAAGCCGTCGCCACTACTTGAGAATCAAGATATCCAAATTCCTGGACTTGCGAGCACCCACCTATCAAAACTCCAACCTGGACAAGTTTCTTCGGCAGGAGAGCCAACTATCGACTTATCCTTTGTTCACGCCCAAATTCGCGGGTCGACGTCCAAGCTCCCATTTCTTTCATCAGTACCTCTGATCATGGTGGCAGCCGGCACTGGAGTCGCCCTCTTCCGCACATTCATCCAAGAGCGTGCTAGGCTTGCTTCTGTAGGCAAGGAAGTGGGGCGAATGATTCTGTTCTTTGGATGCCAGAACAACAGCGACTATCTATACCGTCACGAGTTTGCCGAGTGGATGGCTGGACCCCTCGCTGGTAAACTTGAGGTCGTGACAGCGTTCTCAAGGGCGGACAGTGAGAAGTGCTATGTCCAGAACAAAGTGCAAGCCAGAGGCGAGGACGTTGGGAGAATGTTGCTGGAAGATGATGCCGCATTCTACATCTGCGGTGCGGCGAACATGGCGAAAGATGTTGGCAGCGCTGTCGAGAGAATTGTGAAACAGGCGAATGGCTGGGAAGGTTCCCAGGTGGAAAGTTGGAGACAGGAGAGAAAGCGGTCAAAGAGATGGTTCGAGGATGTTTGGACTTAGGAACGAGAACAGATTCCTAGATGATCCCCTTGGCCCAAGTTCGATGACTACAGTCAATATGAGCATGTCAATTTTGTGTTTGAGGAGTTTTCAAGAATAAAAGAGTCGTTTTCCTACGCCCTGCCGTCCCTCAATGAATTCGATACACTGGTGCTGTACTATTCTGGTCTGTTGCACAATAGCGACGGCTTGCAAGCTCGTCGTCTGTTATTCTGTGGGGCCCCGTTCAATTTCCGGAATCCTTGGTCCCTCACGTTCTATGTTCGTCCTGAGCAACCCTGGTCGTGTTCCATGCACGTGGTGTTGGAAGATGCGGCCTTTGCTTATGATCAATCTTGGTACTTAAGTAGAGGCTGCTTTCACTCAGTGTCGATGTTGATGCATGTTTCGACCTTGATGAAACCAAGTCCACTCATTTTCGACAGCTCTCCGTTGACGTGAGTCATGTCGAAAGAATCGTCCTCGAAAAAGTCGTGAGGAAGATGAGATGATGGGTCGTATTCTTCCATGATCTTGATAGCCTCATTGATAACGTCATAGCCGAAGTTGAAGGCTAAGTTTTCTTGCGGGTTTTCTGAAAGAATAGTGGGATTAGCGTGACTTCATCATCTCCAAGGCAATACTATAAACTTACTTGGAATCTCATCCGCCGCGACAAATTCCACTAGGTCCTTCTCAACAAGACTTGTTTGGTCGGTCCCAACGTTGCTAAGAATTTGGATCGCACTGGCACGGTTTCTGCGAATCTTTTCAAAGAGCTCCAACCTCTTCTCGAGATCAGAAGTGTCAGATACACCGGCGAACACGACACCTAGAGCCAGGCCATCTTCGAGACCCATGGCATCGCCTTGTCCTTGATCTGCGCACAGACTTTGTATCAGCGACTAAATCAACGAGGGTATAACCGGTTGTACGATGTAGCACTCACGAGGTAACATTGGATGCGCCGCATCGCCGGTTATGACCATCTTTCCTTTCCGCCAAGTCGGTAGCGGAGCACGGTAAAACAGTGGCCATCGCTTGATCTCAGTTGCTTTGCTGATTGTGACGTCAGGTACGGCCAATCTGCGCCGATCTTGAACGCGACCTACTTGATTATAGCCAGTAGACTTGGATGGAACCCAGCAAACTTTTCAATCACTTGTACTTTGTTGACATCGGCTTGGTAATCTATCGTTGCGGTGTGAGTAAACCTAGTCACCTTGCAGACTACACCGAGATGGGTATTGCGAACCTTCGCTGGAAGCGTCCTTCATCTCTTCATCGTAAAGGATACCAACGAAGTTGTGGATCGTATTGCTAAACGGTCAGAGGGAGCTTCATTCTGGAAGTCGTAATAGACGTACTTTCGGCATGGATATGACACTAGCCTCCTGTTGCTCTTGTTGTCAGGGAAAAGACGAATGAGGCCGTCGGCGTCCTCGTTCCAAAACTTGGTTTTGGAATCTTCCTCCAGAACTTCGGCGGGAATCAAGAATCGGTAGCAGCAGTTGTGAAGAAGGGGCGCCACGGGAGGATTCTTGTGACCGAGAATTGTCTCGGCCGCAATAGAGTGAATGCCGTCTGCACCTACGACAAGGTCGCACTGAATCTCATCACCATCTTGAAGGTGCACTGCCGGCAACTCAGGGTTCTACACAGCAATCAGCCAAAAAAGCAAACATCACGGTGGAAATGGCGGCAGGGATCTTCCCCGCACTCACGTATCCCATAACCCACGAGTTGGGATGGATGGTGACGGGAACGCCCGGACCTGCAGGATCGGTCGCTATCCTCTTGAGGGTATCGTGCAGATCCACGCGGTGGGCGTACCAGAGATCGGCATCGTAGAACTCCTCGTTGTCGGCGTGTGACAGTGTCGACGTGATCTCCATCGTGACAGGGTCCTGGAAATGGACAGGCCCGGCCTTGACGAAGCCGGAGGCCTCTGGGTCGAGACCCCATCGTGTGAGAAACCGCGTCGCGTTGGGAGGGACGTTGATGGCGGCGCCGACCTCGTCGTTGATGGCAGATCGCTCGTAGATGCGCACAACGTGGCCCGAGCGGCGGAGCGAGATGCCGGCCGAGAGGCCGGCGATGCCTGCTCCAACAATGACGACGTCCAGCATGGTACTAGTCGCTTTCAAAAAAACGGGAAACACAAGTCTTCGTGTTTGGTATCACGCCTCGCCGAAGGAATCGTTGATATCGTCTGGAAGATGTCACGTCGACGAAGGAAGAAGCCAAGAAAGAATTTCGTCGGCCTCGGCCTGAGCAGAACCAACACGGGGCCAGGAAGCCGTTGCATTCGCCTGTATCTGACAGGGACTATGTAGGGTTACGACCGCCCTCTCTCCGCCAAGAAAACCGCGATCTGCGGCGCAACCCGCTCTTTGATGGAGACATAATCCTGGGATCGGGACTCAACGGCGGCACTACGCGAAGCTATTGGACGGTTACCGAAATAGAGGAGTCTTCGCCATCAACCTGAGGATACTACCGGGGTCCGTGCCAAGGGGGAGCGAGACGATTGAGAAAACAACAGTTGTCTCGATTCATATATGTCGACATGTATCCGTAGTCTTGTCCATTTGGGGGTTTTGAAACACACTTGGCAATCTGGAGAAGGTGGACAGAAGTTGAGGACGGGCTCAAACGCAACTCCAATTTCGTTGACTTCCTAGGTCAAACTATGCCAGCTTACTAGCACCGGAATAGTCTATGTCCTACCCCCTTCACTGTGTACGACTACTTGTCCCCAACGGAGCGACTCCCCGATTCAATCCAGCACAGTGGCCAGAAACGAGACCGAAATCACTGTTTCTGTGCTATTGAAATAATCAGAAGCTGTGGCAACTCGTCCTCGCTTCGGTGAGCTTCTATATCCGTACGGACACATTGATTGAGCCAAACGGAGCACTACCACAAGTGAGTTCCAACGTCGCGGAGAAGGACAGGACCCGTCAAATGAGTCCCACCGTGGCAACGCGTCGGAGTTTGTCCCTTGGTCCGCTATTGGGCCAGATTATCACGAATGGAGTCCGCCTGCAGGCGCCCTTGTCGAAAACCGTTGTGCCGAACCCATGTCGGAGAAAATTTGATTCACTGAGAGGGCCATGTAGGAGGCGGTTTCATATCCAATGAGTGAGCGGTTTTCAGTTTGATCTTTTCGGCAAAGCAATAGGCAATTCGGGTATATTCTGACAGCTGCATTCTGGCCAGCGCCAAGACGCGTCCAATTTGAGCTTCCTTGGTTGAGTGACAGGACTAGGAAACTCAAATCTCAGAAAGATACTTGATTATTGATAAGATAGTGTGGCCGAGATTACAGGAAACAAGAAATGGAGTGTGGCATCCGAAAAGCGTTGGAAGGAATGCTGCGTGCCGATCGGCGGCCCGCACCATAGTTCAGCCACCTGCAAGCACAAAGTGAATCTTTGTGTGGCAGCACAAATCACACTGAGTGATTATTACGTAGGCCATCCTCTCGGTTCCCATTCATCCAGAGGCCGAGCCCAAGGCACACCATGGATCAAGATCCGCCTTATAACGTTGTGGCCGTGCACCCTTGCCGTCTCGGCCGGGGAGTTCCGGGCAGCAAAGGGGTGGCGGGGCCGATCCTTGCAAAGACGAAGTCGCTCGTTGCTTGAGGAAGTCTGTGCTGTCTAATGAGAGATACAAAGAACAAGTGTCGAGTCACACAGCTCTGGACCAGCTAAAAGTAGTTGCTCTTTTGATGTTTTGTAATTTGTAATATTGGGCGTCGTAATTTTGAGTGTTATACCTTATTAGGCATTCTCCCCAGAAAGAGCCACGTAAGTGTGAACAACGAAAAAGAAAGCAATGCTACGCTGACCAGCACAGAGAAATGATCTTTGGTTGAGGTGGTTAACGATTACAGGAACTTTCATTGAAGCATTACTCGGTGATTGGACTACAGTTTTGTGCCTCTCTACTGCAGGCTGAGATGCATCACACGAAGCCATTCGGATAAGCGTCCTATCGCAAGGACATCTTGCATGGTTGCATAACATCTACGCAATTTTCCAGCGCAACCTTTGGCTTATTACACCTAAAAAAGCGGTGGTCAGCAATGTATATATACCTACATGTTGTGTTAATACGCTAATCTATTACTGGCTGTCGTGCTTCAGGGGCTACATCCGTTGTCTTAGTTTGGTTCCACGGACATCCGTCCAATATGTACGTCAGCGATCCGGTCGAGTCGTCGTTCCAGGTGATTTCTTCCCGACGTAATGAAGGGTGGAATTCATTCATATTATGGCCGAGATCTGCTTACCATCGCCTTCTCACATCACCGCAAGTCACCTTTCGAGTCCTCCAAGGGCCGAAGCTTCTTGACAGAATTCGGAATTGTACCGTTGCGCCATATACAAAAGAGAGATCCCTCTACTGCATTTAGGTAGTTGTGGGTACATATAGTTTCCGTCACTTCTCAACTTCCGCGGATATGGTAGTAGATGACAAGGTGATGGAGAAGCCAACTCATCCACCTACGAACACCGGCTGTGAGAAGGCGGTAACGGGGTCTTCATCGGAGACAAAGACGTGCATTGGACCTGATGGCCGTCCTCACGCAAAAACCTTTGTTGCAGTTTTCGCCATCTGCCTCATTTACTTTGCGCAATTAGTAAGCCTCGTCGGGGCTGGTGCTGTAAGACCCTCGCCCATAGTGGAATATGTTTTCTGTTCTGTAATGCTCATGCTCATGTTCATCCTCTAATAGCAAGGACAAACTATTGCCGGCCACTTCAATGCAACTGACAAGACAAGTTGGTTCTCAGCCACAATTACCATCATGACCGTCATATTAGGCCCTATCGTCTCCCAGGCGGCAGATTACTGGGGTCGAAAGTGGTTTCTCGTACTTCCCACACTATTTGGGGCGGTAGGCTCACTTGTCGTTGCTCGAGCTCCGGATATCGACACAGCCATCGCCGGATTCTGCATCATCGGCATCGCTTTCGGTACACAGCCGCTACTTCACACCGTAATTTCGGAAGTTCTGCCAAGGAAATGGAGGTCATACGGCCAGGCAGCGGCCATGATATCCAATAGTCTGGGGAGTATCACCGGTCTAATCGTTGGAGGTGCCTTCAATAGAACCAACGACCCGGCCTTTAACGGTTTCCGGTATTACTTCTACATGGCCATGGCTTGGTACTTGATTGCTGCCATACTCTGCGTTGTTGTTTACAACCCACCGCAAACAGATATTCAAAAGACGCTCTCTAGGATGGAAAAGTTGGCCAAGCTCGATTGGATCGGATATTTCCTGCTCGCAGCTGGGCTTGTCCTATTTTGCCTTGGACTATCCTGGTCGAACAATCCGTACAAATGGTCTGATCCGCACGTCTCGGCAACTTTCGCGATTGGTCTCACCTTGGCGCTGGGACTCGTTGCTTACGAGACATTCGCGAAGAACGACGGCATGTTTCATCATGGTCTATTTAACGGCAATCGCAACTTCTCCATCTCTGTATTCTGTGTCTTCGCCGAAGGAGTAGCCTTTTTCGCAGCGAACACATACTTCGCCTTCCAAGTTGGTGTCTTATATGAGACAGACGCCATTATCGTCGGGGCTCGCTACAGCTTGATGCTAGTGTCTGCGGGCATTGGCGCAGCTGTCGCTAGTTGGTACTGCACCATCACGAAGAGAGTGCGATGGATCACCACCATTGCGTTTCTAATATTCGTCGTGTTCTTCGCATGTATGGCGACGACAAATTCCAGCAGTAGCAATCCGGTCTGGGGATACCCGATATTGCTAGGCGTTGCTTTAGGCATGACGTTAACAACTCTCGTCACAGCAGCCCAGCTAAGTATTCCACCAGAGCTCATCTCAGTCGCTAGCGGTCTCATCATCAGCGTTCGGTCACTTGGTGGGACGATTGGTATTGCTATTTACAGTGTCCTGTTCAATGACGGCATGAGCCACACGTATGCAAATATCGCCCAAGCTGTTCTGCCAGCAGGGTTCGACGCTATGGACCTCCCGTCTCTTATCACGGCTCTCAATTCTCATGATCAGAGCGCTCTCGCTGAAGTTCCAGGTGTTACTCCGGATATTCTCTCGCGGGGAACTCATGCACTTCTTGATACTTACGCCGAAGCCTTGAGAAATGTCTGGATCTCGGCGAGTTGTTTCGTTGCTTTCGCAGCTATAGGTGAGTATCTTCTGTCCAAGCCCAAAGCTTGATACGGAAGTTCCACTGACTCATGACTCTTAGCCTCTGCATTTCTTTTTGATCTCGAGAAGGAGTTCAATGACCACATTGATGCTCCTCTGGAAAGGAAAGGCAGCGTCTCTACGGAAGAGTGACCTTAACTGTTAACATCGGCGAGGGCTCTTTGGGTCCATCTATGATACGTGTGATTTTCTCCGCTCATCAATAAATATTATCCATCGCATCTCAAGGCTTGTTCACTACTACATGAAGATACTAGGGTTCTTGGACCGAAGCATGGCGGACCTTTCCCCAGTTGAGTTGAAAATTACAGACGCCGCATACAAATCTCTAAATTCGTGGAATCTTGGAAAGCTTATTAGAAGCTTTTCGTAAGCGGACGCCTTGTTTTTGATCAACTTTCGTTTGTCTAACCAATGTAAGCTTTCTCGCTTGAGCTTGAACTCTAGATGCATTGCCCTTTCGGGCATGCCGGAGCGCCGAAAGCGGAGTCGGACTTCGGAAGAGAACACCGACGGATGAGGGGCGGGGATCACCCGTCCGCAGATCTCCGGCTTACCTCACATCACGATTGACTCACTCTTGGCAAGGAATTTAAGGGCTGCAGAACCTCTGTGAAATATGATTGGAGACCAAAACTACAAGCAATTCATCATTCGTTACTCAATTATCACAATCACAACCTCTAAACACTCGAATTCCAGGTACCCCTAGAAAATCCGACCAGCCGCCAAGCCGACAAGATGAGCGTCGCTTCAACGGTATCTTCGGCGCTGTACCCGCGGATGGGATGGATCGGCGAGAACTGACTGACTTGAACTGTCACTCGACTCTCAATTTATACTGACATAGCTACCAGGTCTCGGATCGATGGGTCTCGGCATGGCCACGAACTTGCAGAACCATCTCAAGACGCACTTTGCTGGCAGCCTTCAGTTTCACAACCGGACTATGTCCCGAGGCGCTCCGCTGGAGAAAGCCGGAGGAGCCCCACAACCGAACATCGTCAACCTCGTCAAGAACACAGATATCGGGTTCATATCTCTCAGCGACGATAAAGCACTCGAGGCGACACTGGACGCAATCCTTGACAACACAGCCGCAGGTGATCTGACCGGCAAGATCATTGTCGACACTTCCACAGTCCATCCCTTGTCATCTGCAAAGGCAAAGGATAGGTTGGCAGCCAAGCAAGCCCAGTTCGTTGCTGCGCCTGTGTTTGGGGCAAGCCCAATCGCCGCGCAGGGTAAGCTGCTTTGGATCGTGGCAGGACCTGATGACGCCGTAGAGAAGATCAAACCTTTCATTGTCGGCGTCATGGGTAGAGGCATCATCCGTTTAGAAGAAGATGTGCAGAAGGCCAGCATTATGAAGACAGCTGGGTGAGTAGAAGATGAGACCGCACTTTTCTATACATCGTTCAATCTTGCTAACATACCGCAGAAACTTCGTCACCGCGGGGATGATGGAGCTAGTCGCAGAAGCTCAAGTATTTGCAGAGAAGTCTGGACTCGGCAGTGAGGCAATGGAAGACCTTCTTGGGCAGCAGTTTGGACCCTTGGCACAAGGCATGTCTAAGCGTCTGACAACGGGTGCCTACTTGCCGCCTCGGGATGAGAGACCGTGGTCTGACCTGTCCCTGGCAATGAAGGATGTCGGGCATGGCCTGAGCTGTGCAGAACAGGCTGGTGTGCGTCTCGATATCGCCGATATTGCTGCCAGGCATCTGAAAGAAGCGAAGAAGATCTCAGACACTCAAGGGCGGCCCTTTGATTCTTCGTCATTGTATGGGGTGGTGAGAACGGAAGCTGGGCTCGATTTTGAGACGGATTTGATCAAAAAGAGAGATGGCTCTGCTTGATTGGGATCTGCATCTTTTCCCATGTATATGTATGGTAGAATAAACTCGCAAATGCTGTAATCCTGATTACCACGAATGGCCTTCGATATTAGCAAGCTTTCAAACAATTTTGTTCAAAAACATTGACGGGAGTCTACAAAGCTCAGGCGATGTCGATTCAATTCGGTCTTCATGACCACGCACACGGCGAGGCAGTCCGTTCGGCAAAACAGTTTTCACTCACGGAAGTAGAAGGTGGAAAGGGGAGGGCCTATGGGATTCGGGGAACTTGCCTTGTGTGTATTTAATGTTGCACGTGTTGCTGTCTGGTGATATTCAAGGGGAGGAGCCTCAATCGTGATCGGGGTTTCTGCGCCGCGCGCTCTAGAGTCAGATGATAATTAACTAGCCTGATATGTCAAGAAGAAACAATGTAACTTGAGTCGCGGATTCCATTGATTATATGCCCGAGAATGCATCTCAATTGGACGGGTTCTTCGACGGCATCTACAACTTAGACATGGAGCTTTGACGCCATTTTCCATGCATATGGATTTAGTCAGAATGAATCATCCAGCACCATCCATGCATCATTGTCGTCTGATCTAACTCAACGGGAAGCGATTGGGGGGATCTAAGTTGGATGTACAAGATGAGGACAAGTGAGCAACTATGAATCATTCTAGCCAAGACCCTCAGTGCTGTCATCCCACCGGCATCTGATGTCTGCCTGTGCGATGTTCAGAACTCCATCAGCCTTCGGCCCCCGAAAGATTGAGTCCGGGGAAATACGATGCTAAGATTAAGTACTTTCTCTATGAAGCAGTAATCAAACAGGTTCCGGTCTGTCACAACGAGTGCGGTTGCCGGAGCTAGCCTCCTATTCTTGATGCACAGCTGGAGGTGCATTGACTTTCGACACCTGGAGTACTTTTACGAGGAATTTCGTATCTATTGAGTGCTACTTTACATGTTTGGAAAGCAATAAAAATTACCAGGAAAATTACCGTTTGAAGCAACTGTGATCCCAGATGTTCCGTCATACAACTTGCGTAGGCGTCTGCTGGACGGGTGCAACTTCACTTCCCCGATTCACCGCGGTCATGTAAACTTTGCGTCCGATCAACGGCTTCTCCGCCACAAGAACGGGCGTAGGTATTAGTGGCCCGTCACCCCAGCCGCTCGACAAGCTAGAGTTACTTGAGCTGGTGGAGCTTCGCCAAGGAAGGATCAAAGATTCCTGAGAGACGGTTGAGAATGTCTGCTGCCCCGAAGACGATATTGGTGACATTGCAGATGCATTCGAAGTCCTGGAAAGTCTTGACATCATTCCTCTCAAGGAAGACCCTCTTGGCTCCTTTCTACCAATGTATGGAGGTGGAGGCCAGCTTTCCACCCAGGCTTGTGCCATTGCTGCATTTCTCTGCCTTCGTTCTATGGCAGATTGAAAGAATGCGGGTATCGCGTACGTAGCTTGTGGCTTCTCATCTCTCGATGATGGTGTGATATCAGCCATCGTAGAGTCGGTCTGATCCAGTGCTTGTTGTCTTTGTGAACTTGGACCCGGGTCTAAGCCGTACCTGCTGGATACTGATGAGTCGCGGATATCTGATGACCTGGGAGGAGGCTGACCAAAGGATCGCTGGAACGGGGGCGGAGGGGGAAGTGACGCCATGGGTGGATTGGAGGTCAGCGGAGGAAGACCAGGGCCTTCAGGTCTGTCAGGTCTGTCCGGACGAGGGGGAACTGTTGGCTCTCCCACGACGGACTTTGCCTTCTCGGTCTTACGGGCTTGACGACGGCTCCGCCACCTCCCGAAGAAGAAAAAGCCTGCGAACAAGCCAAAGAAGGCTAAATGTCACCTGTTCATCAGTAGCTGCTCTTGCACGTCACAAATAGTTCACGACCAACTCACCAAGAATCAGAAAGACGATCCCAGTTGTCCTTCCGGCATTGTTTGAGCTGGTACTAGCTTGTGTAGGCGGTGGTGATACGGTTGTTGCCGGAGCACCAGTAACTAAGGAACTGGTGCTTAGTGTTTGACTTGTTGGCAGTGGAATGATGTTGGATGATAACGTCGATGTCTCTGCGGCAAGAGGTGTGCTGGAAGTCGGCACACTTGTTGCCGGAGGGATTGGGGCCAAAGATGGAGCTAAGCTCAGCGTCGATGTAAGTAAGGTTGTTGGCTGCGTCGAAGAGGCCGACGGTGGCGGTGGTGGAGGTGGAAGAGGGGAAGGAGACGACAGGGCAAACGTCGATGAAGGCGGAACGGGTGTATTACTGGGAAGGTTTGTACTCGTTGTAGATGGCTGTGCTTGTGTCTGTGTCACTGTTGCGGTGCTGTTCTGCCCGGTTCTTGTTCTTGTGCATTTCTTCTCATCATCGTCATCGTCGCATTCATCGTCCTTCTCATCTGGCTCATTCTCATTCTCATTGTCTTGCCTCGCTTTGAGAACGTCTTCAGTATTCGTAGCGCTGTATCTCCTCCTTCTGAATGACTGTTTCGTCTCTATGAGCAGGAGACCTTTTGATGTGATCCAATAGTGGTGGAGGCAAGGGAATTTGACAATTGTACGAACCTTGACTCTGGGTGAAGACATCATGACAATCAGTGGCAATTTCCCAAGGCTGTTGCGTTCTTGGTGGGTTTCCAAAGTTGGCTTCTTCTGGATGATAGAATTTGATGTCGTCTCGTTAATTGATCGCGCCTGCATCGAATCGCAGCCTACTTGTTACATGCCTGCTGCACATGAAGTAGACCTAGAGCCAGTGAGTGGAAGCAGAGAACACACTTTTCTTCCACCTTACGAGACGTGAATGACTTGATCTCCTTAAAGCCCCTGGCGAGCAACATCTACTCGGTTGCTGACAGCGTCAAACAGCGTAGTGCCTTGAACAAATGTTTCAAAGCTCAGCTTTACCGGCTTCCGGGGCGTGAGGTGGACCGCGGAAAGCTTGTTTTGGAGCCAAAAATAATCTGCCGTGAGTAATCCCCGCCCAATACTGCAAACGTCTTATTCACAGCAACGGGTTGAGGAGTTGAAGTTGTTTCACACCTCAGGACCCCGCATGGCTACCGCGTCTTTTATTTGACAACGACAGAGCCCCTGAGGTATAGTCTCCGAGATGCCGCGCCTGGACTCACTGCGGAATGCAACACGACACGGAGACGGGTGTAACTCGGTATGGTGAGAGCCAGATGAAGCTTGATCATGAGGCTCTTGATGATTGATATTGAATTCAGATGAATTGCCGATTAGGCTGCTGAAGCCTGTGCTGATACAGCCTTCAGTACCGTACTCCGAGAGTTTCTGTGAATCCGAGGGTCTGTTTACCCTTGTGTAACACCAAACCTTACCCGCTCCTTGATATATAACAGCATTGACGATAAGAAGCCTTGAAGCCGGATGAACGATCACGCGAGTCGACTTTTTGGCCTGTGTATATTAAGTACCTTAGGCTTACACTTATCGAAAAGATCCGACAAAGTCGATTCCGACATGGCATTTCTCTGGCCTGATTCGCTTTTCATGCTATGTTCTTGAGAGCTCGGTAGCAGGTGCTTGCATTCATAAAACGCAACACGGAGGCTTGCAGACTAGCGACACGTCCGCTCCTCAAATATTTTTGGTTTCGAGACGGCCGTGAGTACATTTAACGAGCATGCGGTGAAAAGAAACATGAAGCCAATATAGACAGCCGCTATCGAACATGACTTGCAACCTCCTAGTCTTCCCGTGATGTTGAGCGGCGAAAGGGAGATGATTACAGACAAAAGATGCATTCTCAGCTTAAGATTTTGGGAAGTTCTACTCGTATGAGGATCTTGAGCCGTCGTTGTGTTGACGGGATCCTTCAATTCCTCTAGGTACATTTCAAGAAGTCAGGGAGCGGGTAAAGCAAACATGATTTGTTACTAGAGTATTGACATTGAGGATCCCGCCATAATCTCACAACAGTCGACACACTCTTCATTCAATCTGAACACAACCTGAACCGAACGCATATTACCGTAGCCTAAAGCAAATAGCCTAAGTAGTAATACAATAAACGAAAGTGATATAGCCGCGCTTTATAGTACGTTCTTTCCACAAGCTTAATCACAATAGCACAGGGCTCGTGGTGTGCCCGATCACAAACGTGATCGAGCGCAACAGTAACGTTCAGTCATCCATATCTTGTTGGCCGGGGGCATCTGCAAACTTAGCATGATTCTATTTACACGATCGCCGATTGACGTTTTTTACGTACCGTCCTCATCATCATCCATGTTCGTCACAGCTGGTGGTGGTGGTGGCGGATTGGGATTGGGAGGCGGGTTGGATGGGTTCGGTGGTGGGTTAGGAGGAGGGTTAGGAGGGTTAGGGGGAGGTGGAGGAGTCTGTTGAGGACGAGGTTCTGTCTTATTGTTAGATAATAAATATCCTGCTTCTTCAGTGAACTCACGATCGTCGTCGTCATCCTCATCTCTTTGAGGAGGACGCGGCGGTGGCGGGTTGTTATCAGGCCGGGGCGGTCCATTGGGTGGCCTCGGTGCTGTGGATCCCGTCAGCATTGAAATCCATTGTCAGATCTCACCAACATTGTTGCTACTCACGGTCATCGTCGTCATCATCTCGAATGAAGAGTCCTGCATGAGGGGACAGATTGTCTCGCTGCTTAATGTGATGACCCTGAAGGGAGAGCTCGTCTGACTTGGGCATAAGAGGTCTAGGTGGGAGAGCAATGGCTGAGCCAAATGACTCTATGAGGAGTACCCCAACAAGAGCCTCTTTCCAAAGGTTGAGCATAATGATAAATGTATTGGCGGAATCCCGCTGAATTTTTTCTCTGTGTGAGCCTATTCGTGGAAGACACCGATGAGCCTAACCATCTGCAAGACAAAGAGGATGTGGGTTCCCATCATCTTTATAGCCCAACGACGGGATTTATCAGATCAGAAGAGCGCACGTTCTCTCGTGAATAGTATGATAACACCGACCGCGCATTTGCCATCATCAACAACGTTCCAGCTCACTACCCGGAAATAGACCAGCTTCGACCTATCAAGGCATAATCTAAAACGGAGTCAACGGAGTAGTTCACCGCATGGAGAGTTCTTAGAGTTTCCTAATGACGCGAGACGGCTCAAACTTTCTAGATCGACGAAGACCATGCGAAAGATCAGTGGACGATGTTCAACCGCCAAGTCAAAATGCCCAGCTTTGCTAAGCGCCATCCCGCAGCTAGAAGTGCGAACATCATGTGAGTCTGTTCTTGTTCGTGCTTTAGAAATTTGTTGTGTTCATTAGACGATGCGACTTTGGCGGGGGATGTGAAGCAAGGACAGGGGTCAGACGCCATCTTATGGTGAAGGGTAAGCTACGATAGGTTAGCTTGTCTCATATCCTTCAAGAACCGTTGACAAGAATGCATTGACTCTACTTTGGACGATTACGATACGCCGTCACCGACTCAAGTCCAAGAAGCATCCGTAGCCGAGTTCCATGTCAATGACAGGATGTGACGGCAGTCGGCGTCCCAGAATCCCGGCGCCAAAAATAACCGTACCATCAACCAGGTATCGTTAAAAAAGGTCGAATTCGACCATGGCATATGTCGAGCTACCTAGTATTCCAAGTGTTGCTCAGCCGGCAGATGCTTTCTACAGCTTTAATCCCGATCAATCCGGTAGCTGAATTGTTTAGTAGCCCCTAACGAGCTGGAAGAACTCTAAAGAGACCCGGTCAAAGAGTCAATACCAAAAGTTTATCATGGTGGCACAGTGAGGGGTAGCTCTTCGGCTGCTCCCGACACGCAATATGATGAGTTTGTGTCCGCATTCCTACACCGTTGGGGGAATCTTAACCGCTAGCTTTACTGCTAGCTTGGATTTCAACAAGTGTGTTTGACTCATTTTCAAGCTTATTTGAACGTGGCAAAAGACCTCGACTCGTGTGCAGCGGGTGAACTGATGATTGAGCAATGGAACTACTACTCAAACAAATATAACCTATAGGCTACGTGTATCCAACAGTTGTCGCCCATCAACGTGACGCGTTGAGAGGCTCATCGCAACTTTGATTCATCAGCATGAACACCAATTCATACGCTTCATCCTCCGTATGTATTCAATTTTCGTGCGTACATCATGCGGCGCAGCTTCTTGGCTGGACGAGATCGGGCGAATGAGGGCCGAGCAAATTTAGACTTCTGAATAACGTCAATATCTCGACATTAAAAGCTCTGTGAACAGGCCTAAGAAGCTATGAGGCTTGGCCTGTTCTCAGCTGTGATTACGACATTTGTAGATGTTATATGGGACGATGGCGAAAAGTCGAGGGACAGCGTGGTCGTTCTCGCCACGACTAATTTTTGATTCGAGCTAGACTTTGGCATCTTGGCGTCTGGTTGCTTGGAACCTTGTCTGATTTCTTCGCGTCAGCATTAACTCAGTGCAAACTCAAAGCATCTTTCCCCATGGCTTGAGGGTGAGGAAGGTCCAATTATCTTATCTATCCACACCTTGACGATGACCGCGTTCCGATGGTGTGACCAGTACCGCATTACCTACATGTATCCTGCACTATCATCCACTGATGACTCTATTTTACAAAACTTGCCTCAAGGCATAGTTGCACACAACCTTCATTGCCTTGGCTCAACCCCCTCTCCTTCCGCGACTCTTCTCAAGCTGACTCCGTGTCATCCAGCGTAATCTTCACCAATGTTCGAAAAAAGTTGGTCCAGTAGCGGTAGCCCGTCTCCAGGGCAGCAGTAGACTGAATTGCTGTTGTCATCCTGTTTGCCTGGGGTACAACTTTTGAATCTCGAAGCGGCGGAAGCTTGGCTCTGTATCGGTCCACATCTGATGTTCCTGGCCACCAGAGCATGTCCAAAGGGTAGAATTGGGTCCGCATATCTCTCTTCTGCTGCTGAAAGTTCCATGTCTGGCCAATTCGGAATCCACAGATTTCTTAGGCAGGGTTGTTCTCCATTCTCAAGCTCGGCGCTTAGGTTGAGAATGTCGAAATACTTGAAGTCGTTGCTCGTGACGCTCACAATTTTCTCAGGAAGAATGGGTTGGAGAACGCTATGCCGATATACACCACTGGGGTAGTACGTCGGGCTGTACGGGTTTAAGAGGCCATTGCCCCAAAGAAGAAGGTACTTGAGTTCCTTGAAGCGAGTCAGCGACAAGATGGTAGGCTCTTCGTCAAGTTCGAAGCTGCGTCGAAAAATGTGAATGGTGCGGAGTGTCTTCTTGTGTCTTAGCAACAGGATCGACATCTCTCTGGGTGTGACCTCATAGGGGCAGGCTTCGGTGCCCCATGCTTCGCTCTCTTGGAAGTTGTAGACGTTTCTTTCTCTCCACGTATCTACTAAAGAGGCTGAGTAATAAGAGAAGATCTCCAGGTTGCTACTCATTTTCAAGATACTTTCCAGCTCTTTGTATTTGAGGAAGACGTTCTGGGCACCAAGATATCTGAGCTTCTTCAGCACAGGTAATTGTGAGTCGACCGCATCGCATCGATCAAAACAAAACTCCTCAAGATTGGGGCTGGACAAAGGAATCATCAACTCTTTGGCCACAATGGGATTGGATAGTGACATCCCGTCTTTGTGTTCCCAATGGTCATCGTTGTCATCGTCACTGTGCTTGATGCGAAATCCCTCGAGGTTCGGCAAGTTCCATGCCCGGCCATGTGCTTGTTCTCGGACCCAGATGATATGTTCGAGCAGCGGCCGCCAGACAACCGTGTCGGTTTCATTGAGCAACACCAGCTTGAGCAGTTCAATCTTGCGAGCTTTGAGGACAAGAATCTGGATCAAGGCACATAGTGCTGCGGGGCCCATGTCTTTGATAAAGCGAGTCGAGTCGAACTTGTGGCCGTCGGCTTCAACTTCGTGGAGACGAGCTTTGAGATCTGTGGGAATCGGACCAAAGGCACTGGAATCATCAACTGATTCTGAAATGCGATTCTCGATAATCTCGACTTCACGGACCATGTTGGCGAGGATTGGTTTATCGTTGATGGTGGCAACAAAGTTGGCGAGGGCTAAGAAATCTTTGCTACAGAACTTGAGATTTTTTGAGGGCCACGATATGGAAAGACAAAAATGTCTATAGAGCAGAGGTTGTGCTAGGGCTTTTAAATGCTTCGAGACCAAGCACGCGTTGGCAAGAGTAGCCTGAGCCTCGCGGCGACGCCCACCTTTAGGCCGGAGGTTGGGACATGTGCTCTGTATAGGATCGGAGATTGGGGGACTGTAGTGCTTGCTGGCCACAGCCTTGATGATGAATCTTTGTATCTCAGTCGGCAGTGCAGGGAATCGATGAAAGGCTTGCATGGGCATCTGCACCATTTCTGCGTCGTGGGATGATTTGGGTTGTGCGTCCATACTGACGGCTTGATTGCTTTCTGCCACAGAGGGAAGAGTTATCGAAATCTCTGTGTCCTCCTTGGTTAGATGCGCTGTTAAAAAGCGAGGGTGAGACTAGAAGACTGACTTTCGAATGGCCTCGAACGGAGAGGGTCTCTCCATGTCCTTGCGATGATGCCGGAGGACTGTAAGAAGGCAGTCAGGGAGCGAGTTTCTGTTTGCACAACCGCTTTAGTTGAAGACGGAATATTTTCAATGCTTTGCGATAGAGGATGAATGGAAAAAGGAAACAGTGAAGGAAGTAAAAATGAAAGGTCGAACATATTTACCTGACAGAAAATGCGTACTTGTCCCCTCGGTAACCGACCCAAGCAATAGGCAAGTGGCTAGGATATTTTACCTGCGTAGGTACCAAACGTAATGGTAACATGTGCTGATGAAGGTGGCAGGTGGAAGAGAAAAGAGGTTCGCGAGCCAGAAGGTGAAGTTGTGGAAATGGGTGGGCGGGCACCTTGGTACTTGGACGCGGCGATTTGTGAATACACGGGCGTCAACACATTGGAGTATTCCACCACCTGGGCAAGTGTGGGGATTGCGCGCAACTGGGACAAGAACTGCTGCCATTTTCACTCCAGCGCTGTTGACCACATACAGTTGCAAGGGGCGGTCTGGTTGATCGGGGCTTCATCAATTTACTTACACGCAGCTATTTACTCGTACTCACCCATCACTGATCATGTCAAGCGCACCAACTCCTACTACAACTACGGTTGTCAGGGACAATAGAAATAGTTTCCAGCAGAATTTAACCCAATGGACAACATATCGTAAATGATCTTCTCTTATTGTGATGGTACCAATGTTGAAGCACAACCATGAACATATGAGAAGTGTGTGTTTAGCTACGCAAAGACATCATGTTGACGGTCAGATCCCACGTGACCATCAACAGTAGCGCAATTGAGTAGGTACCCAACATGAGTATCGCGTCTGATAGCCTAAGGCACGCGTATACAGCACGCGTCCACGGTAAAAGGTGAAAGTCGGAGGTGGGGAGGATAGCAGACACTCGAAGAAAGTGACGTGGGAATCTGCTATGGGTGGTCGACACACTAGCTAGTGCTTAGACAAGATTGGAAAGGAACAAAATTAAGCATGCTGAGTTACGAAAGGCTGAGAGACGAATTTATGCTCTGGCATAGTCCCATGTGTTAGGGTGGGAATAGTGATGCTTTCCAGTCGTGTCTCTCGTTACGAGGTAGCTCAACGATGACATTATGTTGTGCAAATTCTCTCCCCGAAACGGTAGTCAAATCTTCTTGAATAAGCACTTGACCTTACCCTCGGATCTTGCTACCCTTATATTTTCTCGAGGTTATTGCACTCTGCTCCGGTCGAGTGTCACAAAACGGCCCCTTCAACATCCGGCCAGCAGTCTCCAATCTTCCCGTCACTTTGCACAGCCAAAACAACACTCCCCTCAAAACTTCCCTCGCCTAATTTTTCTTGGCATCTACTGTTAGTGTAATAAGTGGGCTACCACCCAAGTCCTTAACAGCTGAAGACCCTTCACCTCTCCTCCGGCGCCCTCCCACGATGGCCTCGCAGCCTCCGGCGGGCTCTGGACCGTTACCGGCCTCCTCGGCCGGCCCTAATCGAAGCTCTGGACCGTCTTTAGAGCCGCCCCTATCCTCAAGGGCTAAACGCCGCCGCGAAACCGAGGCCTAGCCACTCCGGCCTAGCCTCGTGGGAAGCTAGCCCGACGCCCCAATAATAACCTCCTTAACGGCTAAGGGGCCCTTAATTATAACTAGGACAGCTACTAGAGCTATCCTTATAGCTCTTAATAAAGAGGCTAAGTATTATAAAGCCCGAAAGGACGTCTTTATAGCTATTACTTAGTCTGTAAATAACGTGATCTCTTGTTTTGAGGGGCCTAGGGATTTCTTGTCCTTCGTAGTCATTCTTTTCTGGAGTCTTCCTCCGACTGCTGCAAGTGTTTGAGCTCGTCTCGGATGGCTGCTAGGTCGTGTCCTGACGGCTTCGTAGGCCGTGGACAATGTCTGAATGCATTCTTTGTTGTGATCCTCGAGGGTCTTCGGTCGTTGCGTGACCTCTTGCCTGCTTGTCATAGCGAGGGTCTTGATGCTGGCGGGCTCCTTAGGGTACCATCCCGTGTTTTCCTTACTGTCTTGATGGGTAAGGCAGTTGTCGTCGTAGCATGCTGTCCAAGAGAGTTGCTTGTGAGGAGTTTCCTTGGTAGCGATCCTGATCTGTTTCTCGGGCACAGGTCGCTGCTGGATCCTTCTGGGTTGTTGACAGTTGCGGGACATGTGTCCTGGCTTGTCGCAGTTGTAGCACCTGAAGACTTCCTTCTGGTACGGTTGTTCTCGTTTGGCCATGCTGAGGTCCATCGGTCTACTATGGTGTCTATAGGCCGTGGTTTGTCGGTTCTGCCAATGGTTGTTTCTAGGGCGGTTCTGTCCTTGGAAGCGCGGTTGATAGCGTTTCCCAGTGTTTGCTTGCGGGACTTGTTTCCTTTCCCTTCGTCGTTCGTAAAGTCGATTGTCAAGCTTGATAGCTAGTTCGACATATTTCAAGAAGTCGTTGGGTCTGTCTTGTCGAGATAGTTCGTCCTTGACTTCCTCCTTGAGCCCTTATAGAACATGAAGATCTTAGCGTTGTCGGAGTAGTTAAGTCGGGCGTAGATTCGTCTGAAATCTGCGGCGTAATGCGAGGCTGATCCTTTCTGTCGAAGGTTTGAGAGCTCTCGTTCGTATTGTCGTTCTTCATCTGGTTCTTGGAACAGAGATAGAAGTGCACTTTCGAATCCGTGCAGTCCTTCGAAGATACCTTGGGTCTCTGGCTTGAGAGTGTCCCAGTCGTTGGTTATCATAAAGTCGGTAAGATGTGGTTCGAACCATGCGAGGGCTTTTCCCTTTAAAAAGGAGGCGGCATGGATGACCTTCTCGGCTTCGTCCTTAAAGTTCATTCCGTGGAAGCGTTGGTAGGCTCTGACTTGCGTGAGGAATCCCTTCAGTTGTCCTGGGGTTCCGTCAAAGGCTTGAGGTGAGTTGAGCCTGAGCTTCTCTCGTCCGTCATGCGGCGTATTAATGATGTTAGCGGCACTGTGGAGAGTATTGACCTTCTCCGTAAGGTAGTCCGCTTCCTTGGTCTTGTTCTCAAGTCGCTCCATAGCGTCATTGAACATCTGTTGCATCATGGCAATGTCGGAGTCGTTCTTCTTGATTTTCTTCTGTAGGTTTTCATAGACCTTACGAGTGAAGTCAAGTTCTTCTTCCGAGTCTTCGACGTCCTTCATTTCTTCGTCCAGGGTTTTGGCGGGCATAGGGGCCTTACCCTTGGAGTCGTTGGAAGTGGACGGGGTGGCTTGGGAAGACATCGTCGTTCTTACTGTTAGTGAGTTTCGTAGGGTCAACTTACTGAACAGGAGCAATTAAAGTGTTACGGCCAGCTAGTCGTAGGGGTAGTTTGCAGAAGTTGAGGCTGCGGAACTGGTAACAGTAATCGTAGTCGGGGATAGCTTCAGGGAAGCTATGTCTGTCAATCGTAAGGGTAGGTAAGGCTTCGGTGATCAATCGTAGTCTTGTCAAGGTAGTAGCTGAAAGCGGATGTTAATCCTGATACGAAGTTAATTGCTGAAGAAGCTATGGAAAGTCTGTCCTAGAGCCCAGCTCGAGTCCATCCTTATATACAAGTCCGATCCTAACTGAACAGTGCTGAACAGTCCACTTTGTCTGGATATGTTGGATATGCCGCATATCCAACATATCCTTATCCCTTATCATATCTCTTATCATCACGTGACTTGTACCATAGTTCTTCCGTTCCTGGGGTTTCCCCAATGTTCCGTCCCGTCCTGCATAGGTGAAGACGGTAGCCTGTAATATAGTTTAGATTAGTATAGACCATGTCGGCATAGCGCCCGGCACGTCCTTTTGTTACCAGACGTTAAATACATCATCATCATCATCATCATCAACGTCCCGTCCTGCATATATGATGCGCCGTAGCCGCTAGGCGTCAGCGGGGCACGCCCTGGTCTTCATGTTGGGTCGTAACACTCAGCTTATCTAAAAAGGGAATTGATATACCGGCGTCGCAAATTGATACACCGGCGTCGACCTTACACCGGCGTCGCTGTTCGACCTTTTGATTGGCTCAAAAAAACAATACCTCCCCATAAAGGCGGTGAGGGTGACTGCACTAACATGGCTATTCCTGCCCTCTTCTCTAACCTAAGCTCGGATTTGAGATTTCTAAAAGTACGTATTACAGCCTACTTATACCCCAGGTTTGTAAATCTCAAATAGGGACTATATAACCCCTCGAAAGGCCTATTACCTAACTACCTTTTGCGACGTGGTTGCAAAAATTCATCGTCACTACAGACCATTTCCCACTAACTCCGTTTCCTCCGAACACTAGGCTGCATCGGCCGTCCACTTACATAATTCCCTGTTATCCTCCCCTTACCAAGAACACTAGACTAGCTCCTTGTTTGTCGCTGGGATGAGCTTAATATCTAGCTTTAACTTGGCTAACTTGTCTCTTATGTAAGCCCAGCTAGCGTCGACTTATTCTTACTCCCAGGTGGGCGGCCTCGCTTCTTACTACTTGCGCCTTAGCTGCTGTAGGTAGTGCGGGCTTGTCTAGCTGACTAGCCCTCTGCAGGTAAGGCTAGTTGTGATGGGACAGGCTGCACTGTGTTCTTTGGCCTGCCGCGGAGGGATGCAGCAATCTTAGGGTCAAGGATCCGGCGGTATGGATCTAAGGAAGACGTCTCTCGAAAACGCCACCGAGGGTGTACCTCCCATTTACTAAAAGTAGCTGAATCTAACTTTTAGGAATAGATCTTATGGCAGCATGGGATACCCAGCTCAATTAAAACAGTGCAGTCTGGACCATAGTCTCCAAGGGGGGCTGGGAATGGCCTCGTACCAGACGGCATTACCTTCTTTGCCAGCCGGTATTACTTCCCAATTAATGCAAGACACTTTGAGGAAAGCATCGTTCGAAGTTCGCCTAGGTACTCAAAGCGAGTACCTATATACTCCCGGCCTATAAGCACTTCATCCTCAGCACAAGCTTGCCTGAAGCGTATCTCCTGGTCACCAATCATATCCTGCATAACATCAACAAGCCGATATAGGTGACTAAGACCATTTAAGAGATAACTCTTAATGTTGTTATTACTTGACTCAGTGCCAGAGGTGACGCGAACACCAAAGTTCTGGTATTTTCGGATAGAGCAGTGGGCCCACTGTGCTCTTAAAGGTAGGTATGTTATGTGGAGGTACTGGAGGATTGGGCGTTGGTAGTTAAACTCTTTACAGAGCTTGGTCCAGGCTTTCTCAAAAGCGTGCTCAGTCTCAGCAAAAACAACAAGCTTCCACATCATAAGGACCCCACGATACGTATGAGGGGGGGCTCATCAACAGATGTGTTGATATAGGCCTCATCCTCAACACTTAGCGTGGCCATTGCTTGTGTTGGTAGCTGATATCCCTCGTCATCAGACTCACTGCTGTTACTGCTACAGCTGCGGTCCTTAACCCACTTCTGATTAGCCCTGAGCATAACGTTAGAATTGATGTGGTGGATGCAGAGTTGTTGCTGAACGTCTGGGAACTGCTCATTCAGTGCAGCCTTCATCTGCTTGTCGTAGTCTGTAATAATAACAGTAGGGTAACGGACTGAGTGTTGGTCCATGAGTT